AGTGGGTTTCACCACTGTCATCTGAACTTCGCCCAATTTAGTTACACGAATTTTTATTTTAATCTATTATACATTTTGTTGCAAGATGTAACTAATAAAAGACATTATTATTATTATTATTATTATTATTATTACTCTGTCATTGGGCGTAAACCTGTTGAGGGCCCAGAACAAGAGGGATAATAATAACTAAATAAATGTTTTAGATCAATCTTCAATCCTGAATTCCTGGCTACTTTTTTCTGGCGTGCATCCTTTTTTACCCTTTTACAGCTTTGTGAGGTGATCTATTCTTCAGATAGACTGCGCGGTGTTGACAGCTTCAGTCCACATTCTTTAATCTAGATTTTCATGCGGTAACATTGTAGGTATACATACCTAGCTACCATTTTGCTCGCCGACAATAAGTTAGGCCTTCTGAGTTTGAGCTCTTAAAGGACCACTGATTTTTATAATTCAAACACGCACTTTACAATCTGTGAGAATATTAGCAGAATGAGTTTGTTTTAGACGAAAATCAATTTAATACAGCATAACGCAACTATATTATAATGACACAATGATTAAATTAATTATTATAACATATATGACAAACAACTTATAATAAGATGACGCTGTGTGGTTATCAAATATGATTACGTACTCCAACACAGACGGACAGACAAACAAAAGCATGATTTAATAAGGAATCTTTTCCGCGTAAAGACTTTCGCTACTATAAATGCAAATAGGTGCGCTGCACGGACCTCTTACTAAAAATAACAGGTCCGTGGTGCACTGTGAATTGAACCTTGTCGTGTATTTGTATCTAGAAAATCCAGGGATTGATGACATCTATGACTACACATCTTTATATTGTGATTTTATAGTTACCCTGTATATACATAACCTTTAGAAAAGATCTTCTGACGTAAACCTTAGAAAAACAAATTCCCTAAATCATTTCGTGGATGTTGTGTTGTGGGTGTTCTGTCATCTGCGAATGCGGTAGTAATCTTTAAAGCTGCAATGTACATGTAAAATTTGAATTATTTGAAAATGAGTGAATTATTTAAATCGGCTTTCGGTTACTTTACTACACCCAGTAATGACACGGTTGAGAACGGCTTTATAGGACAAACAATTGAAATTTCCAACGTTAAACTGAAGATACAAAAAGTAATTGCTGAAGGTGAGTGTAGAATATTGATTTTATTTTAGGACACCCACTAACCTTTCATTGCTTTAATTTAGGAGGATTCGCTGTAGTTTTTGTCGCGCAAGATATTTCCACAGGAAAGGAATACGCTCTTAAGGTAAAATTACGGTTTCTTATAAGTTCAACAAAGGAAAGTTACAGCGGTTGCTTGCTGCCGATGAGGCGCGAAAAAGAAATGTATTACAAGAAATTAACATTTTGAAGAAGTTAACGGGACACTCCAACATAATACAATATTTATCTACATCTGTAATTGAAAAGAATCAAACCAGTCACGGACAAACGGAATACTTACTTGTTACCGAATTATGTTCAGGTGCTTTGGGAATTCAAATTTTTCGGGAAGTTTATTCTTTGTGTTTAAGGGGGCTCATTAGTCGACATACTGAAATCGTTAAATGGACCATTTGATCCCGAAACGATAGCTTGTTTGTTTTATCAAACCTGTAGAGCAGTGTGCCATATGCATAGCCAGTCACCGCCAATAATACACCGTGACTTAAAAATAGAGAATATTTTAATATCAAGCGATGACACTGTGAAGTTATGCGATTTTGGTTCGGCAACAATTGAAGTACACCAGCCTGATGAATCTTGGTCCGCAAATCAAAGATCTACTTTGGAAGAGACGGTAGAGCCCGATACGTAATAATATAATAATTAAAGTTCTCGCGTCTAGCTTGCACAATTTACAACGCCCATGTACCGAGCTCCTGAAATGGTAGACACATGGAATAATTATTATATTGGGGCTCCTGTCGATGTTTGGGCCTTGGGATGTATATTGTACACTTTATGCTATATGAGGCATCCCTTTGAAGATGGTGCTAAGTTACGTATACTAAATGCAAACTATTCTCTTCCTCAAGATCAAAAATATTCCTGTTTTCATGGCATCATAAGTAAGTATCTGAGTAATATTTCTGAACCAAAGTAACCAGAAGGTTTACTGAGATATTTTTATGATATTTTTTTCTTGTCAGTTTCCATAGAAACAAATATATTCACATACAAGAAACGGAGATATCCCTGTTATGGTAAAGCTTGAAATGGGGTCAATTTGAATGGAATAAGTGGTTAAAAATGCACAACTGATTATCTGCTTGTATCATGCTAGGCTTCAACAATATCACATGGGGCACTAAATGTTTTAAGAACAGAGCAATTAAAGAATTTCTTGCAGTTGATCTAAATACTCCATGGCACATAATCGTCAAGTGACAAACCTGTCTAGTGAGAGTGTGTGTGGTTCGGAAAATCGATTAAACAATCATAAATACAACACAAAAAAGTGAAATTTAAACAAAACGTTAAAAACATTCAAACTCGAGAGTAGCTCTAGGGTCTTCATTGATTACAAGGAAAAAAAAGAGCTACTGAAAATTGTACTCAGTTATTTTCTTACTTCTTTTCCAGTTTATAGTTTTCAACCTGTCCAACATTGGAGAATTTTATGTCCCTTTAATCATGATTTTACCTCAGATTTTACATTGATATTTAAAATATTATGCCACCCCCTTTCACGGAAATGAAAGTACATAGGCTGTTATCTAATGGAGCAGCAGGGTTTTATGGGCGAAGAATATGTATGATATAGTTTGTGGTTATGGTTTTGTATTTGTGACATCTTACCTTATAATCAAAGGCGGTTAACATTCTAATATTTTTAATTATTGATTAACCTGAATCATCGTTTCAAAACAGGCTGTAGGTAAAATTCGATTGTATTGAAAACTAAATGTAATCAAACGTTATATCAGGGTGTCGTAGAAAATAAATAGATTACCGTTTAAACTCTAGTTGTAACGGCCTTTTGAGTTCAGAAGGGCGCTTTTCTGCTTTATCTGTAACAGATAAAGACAAACAAAAAAAAACAAGAGAGATAGTGAATAGTGCGGCACATAAATATTGCGTTAGCAATGTCTAACGTTTGACACTAATCAGGTAACTTGCATATTAAAACCGCAATTAACACTCAATAAGAAGCAATAATTCCATTTACGTTACAACAGTATAAAGTAGACAAGATCGGGTTTCGGATGGTATATTCTTCCTAGCGACAAAAAATGACGTACGTAAAATAAGAAATAGCAAAACAATTCATAAGAGCAATAATCTCCAAAAGGTTTCGTTAATACTTGCAGTTAAATAGAAACAATATTGAAGTGTAAACAACTTCTATCCAAGTAGATCACCAAGTAATGTACGTACCTCGTGACGTCGCCAATGTCAATCTAGCGGGTCCATGCGAAGTCATCCAGATTCTGGGTCAGAAATACTGAGGTAGATAATAACGACAAAGTAATCTAGAAGAGAAAACGATGATAGAAACTTCGCAGAGAAGGCAAAGCCCTAAAAAATATGTATTAAGAATAATGCTGAAATATAATATGTACAGGGTGGCCAAATAAGAATGCGAGGTACTGTATCTGGGAACCTGTCCATCTTAGAGGCTTGCGGTAAAAAAATTTATTACTAAAACGGCCACGAGAAAAACCTGGAAAATATTTTTAAGTTTCTGCAATGGGCGCTAGGGGGCGTAACTGCAATCTGGAATCTAAAAAAGTGATTTTTCTGTGAATTCCGTTATATTAACCCAACAAAAAAATGTCCGGTCTTTGAAGTTTACGATAATCTGAACCTTTTTTGTTTGACAATTTTTCCTGTATCTCTAAAAATGAGGTAAGTTTGTTTAAATCGGCTAAGCCGTTTCGAAGATACAGGGTGTTCTTTACGGAAACCTTTGAATACCCCCCACCACTTCTTTTTTAGAGATACAGGAAAAATTGTTCAACAAAAATTGTTCAGATTATCGTCGACTTCAAAGACCGAACATTTTTTTGTTAGGTTAATATAGCGGAATTCACAGAAAAATCACTTTTTTTAGATTCCAGATTGCAGTTACGTCCCTTAGGGGTCATTCCAGAAACTTAAAAATATTTTCCAGGTTTTTCTCGTGGCCGTTTTAGTATAAAATTTTTTTACCGCAAGCCTCTACGATGGATAGATTCTCAGATACAGTACCTCGCATTCTTAGTTGGCCACCCTGTACATACCTCACACCTCATCCGTTCAGCGTATTCAATGGAGCAGCCACAACACATTAGAAATAGAGATAAACACTTCAAAGAAATATAATATTCACTGCAAAACTCATGAGAAGTGATAGGCACAGTTATGTACTTAGGATGGGAGCAACTTCCAGGGTAGGACTGTGTCAATGTTGAACGAAAAGTCAACGTTTCATCCACTTCCGTAAGGGACAAACACATAAAAAAAATTAAAACAAAATCCTTGAAAGAAAGAAAAGCTTACAAACCTCGTTTGGACATATTACCCCGCACGCAAGCGGTCGACAAATAAATCTGGTCGTACAAGGTTTGCGGTATTCAGGCGCACTTAACTCTTGTTGAATTTGATGACAAATTTTGGTAGCTGTTTGGACGGTAGAAAACTTTTAATAAGAAAACCTTAACAATCAGCGTCGCTGTACTACACTGTTTGCTTTTTCAACTAACGCGTTGAACTTCTCACTCAACTTTGAATAACTTGCTTCTGCACAGATTTATGCTGACTGCTCAAGATTTAGCGTAAACAGATGTACACGCTTTTCAACCGTCGCGAAAACTAGCAGCGACACTTCCACCATCAAATAAGCTACTTCTTTAAAAACTGGCCAATCAACGACGGAACGCACCAAACGACCCCACCTCTCCAATGTGAAACGCGCAATTCTGGGAAACACCTAATTTGAATTGAATAAAAGTGATAGAATTTAAACAAAAATTACGCATTTACAACATTTTTAAAAGGAAAAATCAACACTAAGATGAAAATTCAACTGAAACGAACCAACTCTGTGCGTATTTCGTAAATAATCCCCCCAGATTTGCTTTAATAAATTCAAATATTCTCGTACACAGGGTGTCCCGTCATTATTTTTGGTGTTTAGATCAAAATAACGTCTACATGAAAAAAACTAAAATATGTTTGTCGACCAAAACGGTACTTTCAATTTTGTTAAAATTTTGTTTTTTTATTATCTGGTTTGAGCTAGGAAGCTGTTCTGCCACGAATTTGGCACGGGGTTTATGCTCACTTTAGAGGTGCGGGGTACTAGTTTCAATACAGATGAGTAACATCGCATAGTTGTTTGCTACCCGTAATAATCAGAACTAGAAAGAATAAGAAAGATGCAATACCGAAGAGCATCAGTTTATAATTGCCACGTTCGAATTCCGACTGCTGTGCGTATGTCAATTGTACAAGACGCGCATGCCCATCGGGCATATGTGCACCAATTTCAAGCTGTTGTATTTTGGTAATCATTGAACAGGTTTGACAAAAATATGTCAACGTCCGATGACAAACATGATATGGCACTTGTACAGTCGCTGTTGTCGGCTGTACAAATTATAATATTGTTATAATGTTTCAGAATCATGTCTTCAGATCTGCCCCACCGACAGACCAACAATAGTAGGAGTACTGGAACAAATTGCTGCATTAGCTGAAACAAAAGGCTACAATCTGAAAGCATCCCTAAATGTTAAACTTAAATCTAGCAACTCAGATATTCATGTGGGTCAAGGTGATAGCAACCACGTTAGCAAGGTACCCACGCGACCGCCTCCCCCTTCACCCGCCCATCAGCCGGCCAGGCCAGCGCCACCGGTAATACTTTTCTGTTTTGATATTTGTAAAACTAAAAACGAAATACTAGAGGCCACAAAGAGACCCTGACTCCATTGCAAAGGCACCAATGCAAAATCAATCCGATCCCAAGCAAAGTGCGGGATTATTTTCGTCGATCAAAGGTGGAGCGGGTAGTTTTCTGAAAAATTTAAAAGATACAAGTTCAAAAGTCATGCAGACTATGCAGCAGTAGGTTTATTAGTATTGGTGTCGAAATAAAACTATAAGCTTTGATTTTAGGTCTATTGCACGCACAGATTTAGACATTACATATGTGACATCTAGAATTTTGGTGATGCCTTTCCCATCGGAGGGCTTAGAATCGGCTTATCGTACTAATCACATCGAGGACGTGCGGGTATTTCTAGATTCGAGGCATCCAAACTTTAAGTACTCTATATACAATGTCTCAGGCCGATCATATCATTCACGTTTTGGACAGGCTAGAGTTATCGATTGCGGCTTTGCATATCCTGAACACTTTAAGGCGCCGCTATTAAATTCTTTGTACCAATTGTGCGAAGATATGTACCAGTATCTATCTGGAGATAGCAGGAATGTTTGCGTTATTCATTGTATGGTAAGTGAGCGATGAACATATACAAATGGTCAAGGTTTCAAATTCTAATTGGTGCTTTAAATCAAGTACACAAGTATCATTGCTAAGAGCAGGTACAATTTAGACAGAACTACCTATATACAATGCGTAAATTAACTCTGAATGTTCAATTTTTAAATATACAAGTCCCCCTTAAGATCTGCAACCAATCGTACCTACTTTCATCTTTTTCAAATGTTTTTTAATAAACGTAAATATCTGAATTATTTAATAAATTTGAGTTTCACAGTTAATAAGTACAGTAATATATATCTAAAATAACTACTAATTTTCTTATACAGGGTGTCAATTTTAAAACTTGCAGTCGGCCATATTTTCCAAACTAAAGAAGATATTGAAAATCGCGCAAAACCGTTTCGGGGGTATCGAGGGGGAACCAGAACCCTCTTAAAAAATCCTAAATGGCAACTCCATACTTGTGACACATCGTTGGAAAGCTACTGAAAAATGATTTCCAGTGGTACCAATAAACTCAATATTCATTGAGACAATTTAACAAAAATTTAATAATTAACAAAAAAAATAAAAATTAAGCCATGCCTATCTTCAAGATTTGGTCGCTAAATTCGAAGAAACGGGATCTGTTATCAATAAAAAAAGAAAGCAACCAATATTGCTTAATGAAGCAGCTCAGGTTGAAGTTCTTGGCCAATTTGCCATAAATCCCTCAATGTCAACATTTAGTTTTTTTTTGTTAATTATTAAATTTTTGTTAAATTGTCTTAATGAATATTGACTTTATTGGTTATCACTGGAAATCATTTTTCAGTAGCTTTCCAACGATGTGTCACAAGTATGGGGTTGCCATTTGGGATTTTTTAAGAGGGGGCGTGGGGGGTTGTCACTTATAACGTCATTCTGGTTCTCCTTCCATACCCCCGAAACGGTTTTGCGCAATTTTTCTTCTTTAGTTTGGAAAAATATGGCCGACTGCAAGTTTTAAAATTGACACCCTGTATATTATACAGGAATATACAGGGGTGGCAATTTGAAAACTTACCACCCCCCCATGTCTTAGTAAATAAAATTTTTTAATTTGCACGATAATTACTAACCTATATGTAATGCTATTTGGTATGGTTGGAAAGCATTTTTTCAGAGCTTTCCAACGACGTATCACACATGGGAGGTCACTATTTAAGATTTAAAAGTTCGAGTGGCTGGAGCGCAGGGGGTTGGAGGGGGTGCGTCACCAACTATGTCATTGTGATTCCCCCTCCGAATTACCGAAACGGATTTTGATTTTTTTAAATATCTCGTTTATTTACTAATGGCCGTTTGCACCGACAAATTTAAGTGGAGCTTAGCTTAAAATCCATGGCAACGATTATTGAGACGATGGTTGCCATGGATTTTAAGCTACGCTTAAGCTAAGCTCTACTTAAATTTGTTGATGCAAACGGGCATAAGACATGGGGGGTGCTAAGTTTTCAAATTTGCCACCCTGTATATTACACTGCTGTTAAATTGGTATGTAAGGTAGGTTGCATAACTGTCTGGCATTGCATTGACTTGTATATTTAAAAATTGAACATTGGAGATTTGTATGTTCAGAGTTACAATTTACGTACTATAGAGTTTTTGATAAAATGAGCATGTGAGAATTTAAAATTAATAAATGTGAAACAATTATGAGTCACAGGTAAAGTTGAACTGACACAATTACGTTTTAGGATGGTAAATCAACTTCAGCAACCATATTGTGCGCATTATTAATTTATATCCGACTTTTCTGTGTTCCTGAGGATGCGTTGCAGCTGTTCGCCGTAAAGCGCATTCCGCCAAATATGCTACCGTCAGAGCTGCGATACCTTTATTACATGACTGATATTGTACAAAATCCACCCAGCTATCCACATTATAAGCCAGTCACGCTAGTTTCTTTACAAATGCAGCCTGTACCGCTATTTACAAAAGTGAGGTATGTGATTGTTAATGTAAACGATGAGAGGAAGTACAGTGCATGTTTTTAGAGATGGATGTCGGCCGTATGTGGAGGTATACAGCGAAAATCGCTGTATTCTGTCGACATTGCAGGAATATGAACGAATGAGACTGTACAATATATCAGAAGGAAAGGTATTGTTCCATTAAAAAGTGTTACCTTACGTCAGACTTTTGTTTTTAGTGTTTGCTTCCGTTGAATTCCAATGTATGCGGGGATGTTTGTATAATCATTTATCATGCTAGAAACATATTGGGGGGCGTAATGACTCAGGGAAAAGCAACGGGAATTAAAATCTGCCAGATACAGTGCCACACTGGTTTCATATCTGAAGAGGAAACATGTTTGCGATTTACAAAGTAAGTGTTTTTTTGTTTGGAATTACTTTTTGTGTCAATATCAGTGTGGTTGATGGCCGTCAGAACGATAGTAGTGAAAGTAGTAAGTATGCCAAGGACAAACTAATTTTTAGGACGTTTTTTAAGAATTAAAGTTGAAACTGCCATCCTGGGAGGGGACTAGAGGCTTTTGAGGATGCATTTGGGGGGGGGGGGCATATTTAACGTTGCAAACCATGTTAGTGCATGCTGACCGGCATCTACATAGATCTAAAACCTTACTCTTACCTTAAAACAAAAGGGCAAACTTACAGAATTAACTGACCTTCGACAGCCTCAGGCTTGTAACATTTTTTATTTTACGCCATCTATGTATTTCTTCTGTAACCGGTTTAGTTAAGATGTAAGTTATTTCTATGGTAGATTTGTTATTACCTTAGTTCTTTATTTTCGACGTTAGAGGTCATCCAAGTGTTAAGGTTTCATTGACCTGATTTCATTCTCTTGTCGCTAGACTTCACGCTTTGCGCCTTGCTCCATAATTCTATCCCTTCTTTAATTTGGTCTTGAGTACAGTTGTACTTATTCCTTTGAAGAGAACATCTTGCCTTTATATTGGTTACGTGCAAATTTTTCTTGATACACCATTACTTTTACCTGAGGTATTGTGTCTCTGAATAAGGCTTTTTGTAGTGGAGATCACCATATTTTTTTGGAGCGTTTCTCTCCATTTCTGATGCATTGTGACTGCTCCATTGTATACCCTTAGCGCATTTATATTTGCAAGTAATTAGTGTGAGGCCTTTGTCTTCCCTCATACTTCGCTCAGTGTTCTCATCCTTTTCTCTTCTGGAGTACTTTTTCGTTATTATCTACCTGGATATTACGTCACGTGATTCTGCCTACATTACCTTTTGGTGACCTACTTCCATGGAAGTTGTTTACTCCTCCTGTTTAACTGAAAGTATTAACGAAACCTTTTGGAGATTATCGTTTCAATATCTCTAATTGTACATACCTAATTTTGTCGTTACTGCAGAAGAATATATCCTCTTGTTTTTTTGTTTGTTTGTATCTGTTACAGTTAAGACAGAAAAGCGCCCTTCTGAGCGCAAAAGGTCGTTTCAACAAGAGTTCAAAGGTAATTTTTTATTTTCGACGACTTCCTTGATATAACGTTTGATTACATACTGGTTTTCGATATCGAATTGTAATTATAACTACTGCATTTGTTTGATAGTCATTTAACAAGAATAGCTCCATTGTTTTCTGCCTGTTTTGACATTGATAATTTCCCTGATTACCCCCTTTTTGCTAAAAATTTATTTAAATTGAAGCATTGACATTTCAGATCTAGATATTACAGCGATGTAATATTTTGAGATCATTTATAAAATTACCTTCGATTGTAACAACAATGATTGTTTATGTTCTACACTGTCAAGACCAGAGCAAGGATCGCTTAGTCTGCATTGCTCTACCTTTCGGTAAGTATTCTCTCTCCTTTTTTTTTACATTTACTAAAGACTAAGTGGCGCCTATTCAGATTACTATTACTATATTGCCTTTTTACTTCGTTTTGGCTAGTATACTTTGCCTGAACTTACAGTGTGCTTATGTACTTGTGATATGGTTACATTTGCTCATAATGAACGTAACAGGTTTTTCATAACTTGTCAGAATTTGGGTGGTCATGACGAGATTTGTGGTGAAGTTTAAGGCCCTTGAGCAACTGTCCAATATGGTCTAAAAACACGCAATATGTTGCTCCTTATTTCAACCGTAGGGTGAAGCTATCTATCGATTCTTCTGCCCTCTCTGGTGAGTTTTATGCTTTTTGCGTATTTATTGTGGGCGGGCGGCGTCCAAATAACTAATCAATCTTGATTGGATCTCACTGAGAGAATTTCTGGGTTATTAGAACTCGTAGGATCAAGGCGCGGTTTAATTGGGTGCTCATAAAACACGTGCAAGTAAATCGCGAAATAGTTCCTTATGGTGGTTCCATCAGTGGCGCGATACAGTGACATCCAAAAACTCTAGTGGCCTAGGTTGAGGAGTGTTCCTTGTGCCACATTGATCTTTTTTGTTTACTACACTAACTGGCGTCAAGCTGAAATTGTTTGATACCACTATGTGGTCATGTCGAAGTTAAGTCCGTTCGAGTTTTAGCTAGAGGATACTCACAAAGAGAATGTGGAAGGTCTGAACTGGCGAATTTACCGACAACATAGGGTTGAAAGATCTAATGAGACCACTCAAGTAAACCATTTCTGGTTCCTTGTTAAAGGTCAACGCGCTATTGGCTGACTAGGAAACCCTGTATGCAATGTGGTGTATAGAGCATCACCCATTTTTTTCTTGAAGAGGACCATTACGACTTAAACAAAAAATTGGGTGGACGTTCCAACTCGAGGTAGGTTTTGAATGCATTGAATTCGCGTATTCATCTAAGATTCTAAGTCATTCACACTAATCCACAAATGTGGATTTTGGGGCACTTCCCATAGCTCACGCTTCTACTGGCGACACGAGAAAGAGAGATCGCGATTCGAGCTCTGGCAACTTTTGGACGCCCAAAGACTCGAAGACGTGCGCCTTGCAAAGTTAATGTTTAATGTCGCCCCTAGGAGAAAAAAAAATTCCGTCAAGGAGTCGTGCGTGCTACAAAATCACCAATTTGGAAATAGTCGGAACAAAATCCGAAAAAAACTGGAAAATCTCCACGTTAGTACACCACACTCGGGGATGGCGCCCAGATGTCGCCGACCCCACATCATGTAGCCTCGTTCCTAAAGTTAAGAGTTACACTGCCCCGGTACACTCTTCGGATTTCTGCAAGCATTCTACAGGTCCGCATTAGCTGCCAACCAGCCAGCCATTTTGACGTCATATCTCGAACCAGGACAACAACTAAATAATATTCGATTATTTTTGACTAGTTCGAATAAACACCTTTCATTTTATATGCAACTTGCTGCTTCTACAGCCACATTTGTGAATTAGTGTGAATGGTTTAGATGAATACGCTAATGTAATGCATATTACGTCATAACTCAAAATCTACCACGAGTTGGAACGGCCATCCAATTTTTTTGAAGTCGTAATGGTCCTGTTTAAGAAAAAAATGGGTGATTCTCTATACATTACATTGCATACAGGGTTCTGGGCGTCGATTCCCGAAGATGTGCTTTGTTCACATCGGCTGACCTTGATGTGAACGTGAATGTGACTGCATTCTCGAACCTATCACATCGAGCGATAAGTTGATCGAACGCAACAACTGGTCTAGACCACTCGTTGCGTGAAAGTCATGCGCAGTTGCAGCTACAGGACGGGTCTTGCAGCTGTTTTGCTTGGGATATTTTTACAGTGCCCTAACCTATACATTCACGTATTTTCTGTGAAATACAACATGGAATTGTTCCAGGATTTTCTGGTTATTAATAACAGTATCCATAATGCAAAAACAAAACAAAATACAAAACTGACAAATGACATTTCAATTCTTGTCTGTGATTGGTTAGCTCATACAGTTTGTCCACGATTCGGGAATGCAGCTAAACTTGAACTTATCCCTATCATATACGATCATGACGTCATGGTAGCCGGTCACATCACGGAGCATATCGACTAACTTCGGGAATCGATGCCCTGGTCAGCCAGAGGACTAATTGCCAGTGTGTCTATCATGTGTTTTTCAATCATATACTGGATGGTAGCTTTCGCGACGCAGTGTATGATTTATAATGCTAAATTTGTACTGGTCAAATAATTCCTCCCCTAAGCTCATGTGAAAATAGCATCGGCATTGGCAGGCGTCAATCCACAGTAATATGGGACAACTAAAAATCAATTTAAAGTTTGTAGATATGCAAAGTTGGCAAAATGGGTTCCGGAATGTCGCCTAACGACAAAAACGGTCAGGTGTAAATCCAATTGGTTGCCATAAAGAATTTGCACATTTTTTGAAATTAGAAAATATGTATAGTATGATAGTATGATATACTGATGCCAATGATGTTTGAAAAAAACACAAACGGCGCGGCGTCTAAGAGGGCAGTAATTAAATGTTAAAGTTAGCACCAGGCTCCGCCCTCCGTATTGGGACTCGTTTACGTGACGTCACAAGGCGAACGGAATGTCCATCTGGCTACGCGTTACTCATTTGAATTTAATATGCTGTGATTGCTTTCTGCTTTGTCATACCAGTTACTGTGTGCGGCGTATACCAATTGTTAAAGTTGTTTGTTGATGTTAACTAATCAATAATGGATGCAGATAGAACTTCCGCCGCAGTACTTCAGGTGAACAAGGAAGATATCGGAGAAGGTGTGTAGTAGGTACCAATGTGTACAAAATTTGTGCGCTCAATTTACTTTATAAATATGACCTACGGGTCGACGCAAAAAGTTTGTGCACTCGAGTTTGAAGCTTAATAAAAAAATAACCATTGGGTCGATTTTAATGGGAATTGTACCAAATTAAAGCCTGTTTCGTTCTACTACATTTTTGCAATTAGAATTATTGTATTTCTGGCATTACGCCGAAGAAAATGATGTATATTAAAGGCTTGTGGGATCATCCGTTTCGGAGAAAAACAACTGTTACGAAATCGGCTCTAGCGTTTACAAAATTTGTATGCTTATAGAGAAACGTTCAATTTTTTATGTCTTACTAACCTATCATAGCGCATTTTATATCTGTGATACGCGGGCATAAAGTACCACTTTATGCCCTAGGGCATTAAGTATCACCATAGTAACTCATTCATACTTAATGACAAAACTAACAAATATTTGTAGGTCATTGAAAATTAGAAACGTCAATTATTAATTGTCAATACCTACTAAATCACAAGATTGGCCTTATTTCGTATAGTTTCTCGAACTTCTTGCTCATTCACGATTAATTGAATTATTTAAAATTACGTTTGACGTTTGGATGGTTTCAATCACATCAACAAATTCGAACCACGCATACTTAATCAAACATAATGAATTATTTTGTAAACGAATTGTGACGAAGAAAACTATTTGTAAAACATAAAATTTTGTATGTACCACGGGCATAAGCTGATGTTTATACTCTCGGGCGACTAAAAAGCTCTCGGGCCATAGGCCCTCGAGCTTTTTAACTTGTCGCCCTCGAGAATATAAACATCACTATTATGCCCTTAATACATAAATAACTATTATAACATACTAAAATTTCAGGGCATTTGGACTTGTGGTTTTGTTTCTATTTGACTCTATAAAGTTTACCGCGACGCGGAAAACCGTGAAAACGGGGTACTTTTTATGGTTCGCGCGCTGTAATGATAATTAAAATTTACTTAAAAAAATTTTTGTTAGGTCAAAGGAATGCAGAACGAAACAGGCTTTTTGCGTCAACAGTAGTATACCTAGTTCCCATCAGGGTTCCCATATCACTACCACCAAGGTGAATACCACTAACCCCATACCAATAAATTCTCTTGAATGATCGTTAATGAAAATTCATGCAAACTATAACTCCGGTTCTGGCAAAAATTCATAATACTTTTTGCCTTAAGTTACAAGTTAAGTGGCAGAAGCCCACCGATCCGTAAACTATTTTAAATAATGTGGAATGCTAACAATAAAACTGGGTATATTATTTAGCCATGTTCGAAATACAATGTTCTATCCCATCAGTAACAAAGTAAACCTTCAACGGCTTATTTAGCACCTTTCAGTTAATAGCCTGGTGCGTTTTGCTATTTTCGGAAAACTTTATTGCTTGTATAGATCACCTAGTGATGCTTTGATTTCGGCACCTACAAAATCAGGATTGGGTCGAGGATAGCGTCCAATAAAGTTTATCAGCATAAAAGAGTTAATTCTTGGCAAATTGTCTCACTGTGCTTGAAAGAATCCTGGTTCCATTGTTTTAACACTCCTCAGTTTTCACAACAACGACGAAATCACAAATCAGCGCAAAATAAACCCCGAAAATTAAGCCGCTGCTATAACGGCGTTCGCCCGGTGACGTCACGAGCACGGCACGCCCCGTTTTCAATCAGGTGGTTTCGTAGGCGTGTTATTAAAATATTTAATTATCGAGTACATCTTTGGGCATTTGCACAAAATATTATTGCCAAAGACATTCAATTAAGGGATAGGATACGTATAACTCTCGCCAGGAAAGATTACCGGTCACAGCACACCTTGTGTCGATCTACAATCTATGTTTTTCTTAAGATGCGGGCGACTTCCAGAATAAGATTGTGCCAATGTTGAACGAAAAGTCTTTTTGTTCAACATTGACACGATACTATCCCCGAAGTCGCTCACATCTTTAGAAAAACATAGATTGTAGACCGGGATCAAGTGTTCTGTGACCGGCAATCTTTCCTGGCGAGAGGTTTAGGTAATATCTAAGGTTATTTGAAAAAGTATGCAAATTCTCCATTGCCATACTTTGTATATCTGATTTAAATATGGTTGAAGTGCGAGCGCAATCTACTTTTTATTAACTGAACTAATTACTTTTAGATCGGATCTAGATTGTTTAACAGAAGGTAATGGTCATTACCAAGAAAGGTTTACGGTAACGTTAAATGTGTTTGTTTCGGATACCGAACGTAACCCTTCTCAACCACCACCATGGATGAAAGATCAAAGTAAACGGAATTGCGAGGTAGTGTTCTCATCTCAGTTAGAGAAGGACGAAATTATCGACAATTTTGGTAATTTTGTCTTGTTGATTTGAACAATTTGAAAGATGATGACTGTTACAGCGAGCAAGCCTCAACCGAGACTAATGGAAGTGAAGCCACCAGAGCGGCCACCAAGACCTCAACGACCTGTGCCGCCTCCACCCGAATTAGTGCATCTTCAACTAAATGACCCAGACTCTCCTGCAAAACAAGAGGTATGCACAGCAAAAGAGTTTCGTTGTTAAAAGTTAAACTTGAACAGGTCACAAGTACAGAAATGGAGGCACAAGAAGATGAAGCGGTAGACTTACTAAATTTAAACTCGCTTTCAGGCACAGTGAATCAAACAATTAACACGGAGAGCTCAAACTTCTTTTTGCTTAGTGGTTTTGACGATAGCAATTCCACTTTCGGCGATTTTGTTTCTTCAAACGATAAGGACCCTAGTTTAAATTTTAAAAATGACAATTTATTCGATCCGTTCGGTATAACGGACTTATCTGACAATAAACGTGACTTATTAGGAGGTTGGGGCGGTAATACTGAGACTTTAAATAGTAATTGTGATGAGCAAAACTCGAACGATCTGTTTGCCAATTTAACGGCCGGTTTAAACTTCAACAAGCAGAGCTCCGCGAACGGTAACTCCTCCCCCTACATGGTACCGCCGACAACACCGCAGCACATGCCGACGACTCCTGCGAAATCTCCAATGAATTCTCGGCCCGATTATAGTAGATCTCATTTCGACGGGTTTAACAAAAACGATCCGAACGTCGACAATACCAAAAATGGTAAAACGAAACCCGCCGATGTTTTCGGTGATTTACTAGGATCTCAAGGTTACGAGTTTGCATCGAAGAAGGATAACTTTCCGAGGACGATAAATGAAATGAGGAAGGAGGAGTTGGTTAAGGATATTGATCCAGATAAATTGAAGATTTTAGAATGGGTAAGTGCGTTCTGGAATCCTTACGTCAGCAAAAATGTGTATGGGAAAGCATGCAGTACTTGCGTATGCAGTTACAACTGTTGAAATTAAAAACAAATCAAACTAAACAAATATAGAAAACGAGCTCCTGGGTATGGCTATAGCATGTGCAAAACCAAATTTTAAACCTGATGTTAGTTTTGCTTTTATTCCGAGTGGCTATGGATCAAATTTCATTTGAATGCCTCCATACATAAGAAAGTTGGCACTGCGCATGCGCAAAACGAAATTTTGAAACTGGCATTAAATTTGGTTTTATTCCAAGTGGCTATGTATCAAATTTTATTTAAATGCCTCCATAAATAAGAAAGTTGACACTGCGCATGCGCAAAATCAAATTTTGAAACTGGGGATTGGATTGACCTGGGCTCAAGGCTATCTCGATCTTTTCACTTGTCCCAATTGTTTTGCCATATGGAAGTGTCCCAATAATAATGGTCACAGGCATATCTATGGAACCGTTAATTGCACAGCTTCGGGGAAAAAAATTGTATCAACAAAAGGGGCCAAAAGAAATCGCTGGCAATTATTTTCAAATTTGTAGCTTCGCCGCTAGAGGGTGTACGATTCATGGTTAAGTAGAAAAATGACTTTTCCTAAAATATACCCCACAAACATGCGGGTCAATCCATTTCAAATCGCCGCCCAGGCAGAGTTGCTGAACATTTTTTATTTTCCTGGTTTTCAAGTCATGGACTCCCTATAGGTAGGCAATCGGAAACCACTATTTGAAAAAATTTTATAAGCCGTAGTTTTTTCTGGCAGCCATTTTTTACATGGCAGTTTGGCCAATTTGATGGAAAAACGGGATTTGCGGAAAGTTTAATTGCCAAGTTATTTTTTAAGATATCAAAATAATTCAAAGACCCCTGTGTTCAGCATGAAATGATCTAAAACCTACATTATTTTAATTTCCCTTACTTATAATACTACCTGCAGCAAAAGTTTTAGTTGAGAATGCACTCCTTTTTTTTCTATGGCTTTTCAAAAATATCTGAAAAGGGGCTGAATGAAAACAAGTGAAAATTTTACAAAATGTTCTTTACACTAATGAGAATATCTCACAAAAAATTATGACGGAGACTTAACTACAGTCAGAGTAATATAGTTAATGAAATTCAATAAAAACGCAACCTTTCTATACAGGGTGTTACATATAAATGTGTAAAAAAAATTGGATCGTAGAGGGGATCAAAACAAGCACTTTTTCCAAATAAACCGAGGGTCCAACGTGTTTCGTTTGGAAGCCACCCCCCACAAAAGTAGTGAAATTTGCATTTCTTCATAATTTTTTTCTCAGCAACCATGAAAGTTAGAAAGACTGGTGGCACGTCTTTGGATAGGTTTTCGGGTATGCCCTTTCCGATTCTGTAAACATTTTTTCAAAATTCTTATCACGAAACGCCGCACCCTTAAATGGGGGTGTGAAAAAAATTTTTGATTTCGACCAAATTTGGTATCTGGGTATTTTCGCACATGAACATCACAAATATCAAATTAGTTTTTGAACATTCATTTGAAGATTAGGCCTTCGGGTCACAAAGTGTCCCCCGCCTACTAGTGAGTGATCTAATTTCGCATGTAGTTAATTGAAAATGTCGCAAATAACAAACAAATAACGATTTAAGTCGATATTGTGATTAAATGATCATAAAAAATTCGATATGTCGATTATGGTATTGAAGTCTGCAAATTCGATTCCAAAAAGATGTAGATTGTGCGTCGCTGGGAGTGGTGGGAAAATGCTATTTAATTTAAGACCATTTCTTAAAAATTCCTTTTGAAAAACATTTTTGTGTCCTTCATTTTTTATTAAAAAGACCCGTGTGTCCTCAATTTTTATTTGCGAGTAAAATAAACCCAAAATAAACTATTGAAAAGCTGTGTTTTTAGTCTGAATTTGAAACGCTTCAGACTAAATACGTCACAAACCTACAACCAATCACGTAGAAGTGAGCTGGCAACCTTACGCGAGGGTCTGACGTTTGTCACATTTGACGTTTTGAGAGGGATGTTTAACTGCATCTAGCCACAGCCGTCTATAATTACAAGCCATGCTGAGAAGTTTGGCAACGTTGTCCGAAAGTCAATCGGTGGGCCGATTTAGTTTTAATGGAGTCGTGTTGCTCTTGAAAAATGGCATTTTTTCTCTCTCCTGTGTTTCGCCTTGGTGGTTTTAATACAGAAGAAAGATACTCAGGCAGCTTACAATTGTACATATATTTTATTCATTTACAAAAATGGATAATAACATTTTTATTTGACTTTCAAATTCAGAATGCTGTAAATTGGTAACTGTATCATAATGTGTTTTCCATCGAGATCTCCGAAATTGGTGAACTTCTGTCGAAACAGGTCGAAGTGAAGCACACGCTTGAGCACTTAATTTCGGCAAAAGGACAGTAAATTGCTGTGCATCAGCGAGATTTTATCAACGACCAGGGGTGATTCGAAATGGCGGTCTTTGAGCCAGTCGCTACTCCAGTTGGTCTAGGTACGAAGCTTTTAAAGAGGGGAGCCCCGTAGACTTTAAATTCCCGTACCGTGAACTCCTGGGAATAAGTTGGAAGGTTCCTTCAGAAATTCGACTTGACATGTCCGTGCTAAAATACCTAAAATACAAACTAATTGTGTTTTTTCACTATAAATACTTACCGTACTTACATACCACGTAGTGTGTAGGTGATATTTGAGCTTGTTACAGGTACTTTGAACAAATACAAGTGCTTGTAAAGGGTCCATTAAGTAGTAGCCTGCTTTAGAGGTTATGACAACAAATCGATATATTTCGTTTAGCAACTTACCTGAATAATAATTTCTGTTCATTCCGTACGGAGTAACACAAATTGTCGCAATCTCGCTCTGTTAAAACAGGTAAATAAGAATATTACACCCAAAACACATATAAAATACACCCAAAATCTGTCAAGTTGAATTAGGAAATCGGCCTACCATGCAGTGTTGCCATAATTCTCAGCACGGCTTGTAATTATAGATGGTTGTGATCTAGCACAAAAGTGACAAGTGCCTGTGACAGATGACGCAAGTTATAAATGCCATTCTCCTGCAATATTGCCAAGTCGTTATGTCATCTGAATGGTTCTAGGAGCTGATTGGTCGGGCTTATTACGTCACAGAGCCCGCCACAATCATATCGTTTTGAATAAACCTTTAAAACCGTTCATGTTCATTATTTTTTTGCTAATCATCCTCTATTTTTAAATAAACTTTTACTGTCCAAAAAAATGTTTTATGGTTTCAGGTACACGCTTATTAAATTAGAACTGCGGAATTTAACTATACTGTAAACCCCCATTCATTCGATATGTGATACAATTGTATCAACAACAAAAAAGTTTCTCGCATAGTGAATTTTGCTCTGCGCGGATAATTAATGCGCGATTTTGTAGGGCTTGTTAAAGCTACACTAATACCAGATAAGGCATTATATACGCATAATTGGAGGTGCATATCATTCTAGTTTAAGACACCGAAAGAATTATAAGAATATCGTTCCTAGAAACAGAAATATGATGGTGGAAATATAGAAAAACACGGATTTACTATCGTCGTTTCATCCTCAAAGACTTTAAACCTTAAAATTAACTATTTCCAGTGTTACTAAAAATTAACAAACACTATAATTCAATTGTCTGTATCATTGACCAGCTCTCATTGAAATTTCGTGGCTCTATGTTAAACGGATTTGGAGTAAAAAAATAAATAGTGTAGCCGCGCACGGATTTTCCATAAACCGTAATGTATTTAATATGTCCCGAACTGACTCCTATGGTCACGTGACTTTTTCAACCGCTCCGGCCTGTAGTATGTAGGCCTCGATATGAGCCATTGGTGTTATTTTAGGTTAATACGTAACATACTCAGATCTATCAGGGCAGCTTCACATTTTAGTAACTAAGACTCTATTGGCGTTTTGTTTTGACCAATAAATTCGTTCAACAGGTTGAAGGTAAAAGAGGAAATGTTCGAGCATTACTCTGCTCTGTGCACACAGTCCTGTGGGAAGGTACCAAATGGAACAAATGTGATATGCATCAGTTGGTTTCGCCCGCAGACGTTAAAAAGCAATATCGTAAAGCTTGCTTGGCCGTTCATCCAGATAAGGTGAGGAAACCATACTCCTAGTTCGTGTTAACGTGATTACTTGCAGCAAGTCGGAACTGAAAACGAAAAAATAGCTAAATTAATTTTTATGGAATTGAATAACGCTTGGAGCGATTTCGAGAATGATCCGGCACAGCAAAACATGTTCAATCACTAGAACATATTCTTTAAGATGTGTTTAAACATTCCATTATGTTAGACTTCCAACAAAAATGTTGCAATATGATTTCTGGGCAAAGTGAAATTGAAAAGAAAAAGCTCAGAAAATGTTGAAGTCGCAATTCCAAAATTGACCAATGATTACGTTTTACATTTTAGTTAAATTTGCGTACGGAAATTATAGATTAGTGGAACTATAGTGCAATACAATTCAAATTAAAAGTTCTCTAGGAAATTTTTTTACATTGGCAAGTTGAAAATTGGACACTTTAGGGATGCCTCTACTACGGCATAACCGAGAGATCCATTTCTTATTTGTACAATTTAGTTACTTGATTGATATTGCTTTAATGCAATGAAAATGATGCTTTAAATATGACATATTAGCAACTTTGTAGTGTGCACAATGCTACATTCTCACAAATTTGATCGCCTTGTAATGTAGTGGCTTCGGAATTTCGAACGCGTAACTAAAATGTAAGACAAGTATATGTTGGTGGTTAGGTATACTTATGTGTACTCACATTCTACTTCAACTTATTCACACATAGTACTTAAATATGTCATCATCTTACGGAAAAAATGCTTTATTAAGACGATACGTTCTATACAATACTATGATTTATACTGAATTAATTAAGGAGATTAAATGATATTAAATTTTGTTGTACATATTTATTCTAGTTGTTAGTTAGTGCTGTACATTAATTTAAAAATGTATAAATTATTTTTATAAACTTTCTGTTTGTAATCGAAATTAATAGAAAATTTTAGTTTTATAAAACCATAATAAATATCTTAAATATTGAATGTACCTACTTACTTTTCTAATATCTTAGTACGAGTTTTTCTTTCGTACAACCCCCAAACAATCGACAGTTTTCTTTCACCTTAGGGATTCCCACTATAGGCGACAGAGTTATCGAATTCAAACAGCCCCGACAAGTGGACTTTTGATAGAACAGCATATACAGGGTCGTGCAATAGTGCGTCGGTCTTTCCTAGCCTATAGCTGGTAAAAAATATAAAAAAACCTTTTGTGCAAATGTCAACTATACATGGTCGCGCATCTACAGAAATTGTTTTTAAATGTATGGGTGTTCCATTTTTACGGTGTGAATAGACAACTGATTTTTTTACTGTAAGACCCTATATATTTTCAGTTGTTTCGATCTCATTTTTTCACCTCTGCATGGAACCCTTTTCACTTTTTGGTTTTTGTCAACTCACCAAATTTTTAATTTTTTTCCAAATAATTCCCCATAAGCTAGCCCCCACTTTGATAAATCGTACTGACCTTTAAAGTGAAGAAATACATTTGATAAATGATGATATCTGAATAAAATAATAAAACACTATATTTTAATTCGTTTATTTCATATTTAACACAATGCACCTGCATTTATAACATAATAAGTTAAATACTTCACAATATACAAATTACGAAAAATTACTAACAAGAAATGTTACATCGAGGTAAAATGGTTAACTTTTGATGTCACAAAATGCAAATAAGCTCACGGCTAACATGTAAAAAAAAGTAAGACACAGAATTTTAAGTAGAATCGATTGGTTTAGCAGGTCTGGAATTTAAATAGCTCACAGCTTCACTATATGTCATATTATGGGTGTCCATAAATATTTTTGTACACAATTCAGGTAAAAGGACTTTAAAGAAGTACTGAGTATTGTCACCGAACTTCTTCGACAAATATTTTAATAACAATCGTTTTTGTTCAAAAGTAAATGTTATCATACTTGTATTGTGAGTTAGATCGTCTGTTTTGGTACCAGTCTTATACATGGCGTTCATAAATTTATCGTGCCTTTCCGACTTCCTAATACCATGGACGATGTCGTACAAATACTGGTGATTTAGTTTAAGCTCTTCTTCCAACTGTTCGTCATTCAAATGCTTGCAGTCCAATATTTCAATAGGTTTAGGCTCCTCAAAGTCTAGTTCAAAATCTGAAATGGAATCGTTGGATACATCAAAATCGGCAATTGCCTGTTTCATTTCTTCCAGTTTTTGTTTATGAAGTAGGGCTTCCTCGTACGTCGGCAATATGACACCGTACTTCTGAAAAGACCCGCTGGGATGTCGCTGTAAGCTTCTGGAATTCTGCTTCCTTTCGTCTTCTTTCTCCGACGTTTTTGTTTTCTTTTTAGTGGTTTGCCCTTTTACGTTTCTGTGATTATTCGGTTTCGTTGTTTGGCCATTTTTTTCCAAAGGTTTTGCTTCTTTTTTGGCGATTCTTTCAGGATTGTCAGATTTTGTCCTTTTGCCTTCATTTTCTGGAGGCTTTGTTTCCGTTTTAAAAACCCTGTTTTTGTCTCTCAAAATCCATGAATCCAGTGTACTACAGGGTGATGAAGGGACCTTTTTCCTGCTTTTTGGTGGCTTCTCTTTGGGTTTGGAAATGCCTTTAGGCATGGTTATAACGATGAAAAGGAATATCAAAAGAACTAATCACATGTATATTATTTAATAAAGCAACAACACTATGTAAAAACTTTGTATAATCAACTCAAATATAAGCCTAAAATTTTATTTTGTTGAGTTTGTCAAATGTCACTTTCCTTTCAAATTTTCGCTCTTGTAACATTGCACCAGAGAGCGCCACTTACAGAGAACGGGCGTTCTACAGGATGTTTAAAATGAAATAGGCCCTCAATTTACTTGTCACATGCTTAAGATCATTATACAGTGCTATTCATTTATAAGTAAACAGGGATTTTCTATGTCTAGTTTTAAATGACAAAAACTTGCTGAAGGACGTCTAATTTCATGCAACTAAAATAACTTTTTAAAACAAATAAAGATTTTGATATTAATTAATTGGACTATTTATTGCTTTGACTTTCGTATTTTTATTTTCGTTCGTGTGCTTTGCATTCAGCTGAAGAAAAACTTGATATTATCAATTAGTATAGCGCCGGTTATAGTTTAAGGAGCGTAAGACAAGAGACTTTTCTGTGTTGATCACTTTAAAATTAGTGGCTATTGAAACGCGATCCATGTAATCTATGGAGATATGAAACCGAATGTTTTAATTTTGGTAGAAAAGAATCCCACACGGTACTTGAGGGAAATAGCGGCCAAATAATATCACTTCGTGATAACCTAAAAGCATACTATTTATTATCGATTTTATTAAAAATCTAGAATGACAATGCAAAATGCGTGTGCATATTATTTCGTTTGCATAAAATTAGGCGTCTTCAGAAGGATTTTTGTCATTTAAAACTAGACATAGGAAATCCCTATGTCTACTTCTAAATGAATAACACTGTATATGTATGATGTACGGTCGGTCACATGCCAAGAAGTTTTACAAATGTGTAACCTAACCGTAACGTATGAAGATCGGTACCAAAATACTTCAAATCATAATGAATCTATTAGCAAAGCAATGCTAAGTTTTGTACAATATCCTGGAAAGGTTGGAGATGCCTTTAACTCATACTATAATAGGTAATATAGGCTATAATCCATAATTAAATAATTTTACTTATTCCTGTAACCCAGGTACCAGATACGAGAAACGCAAATAGTGACAAATGTCAAATCCGCACAGACACACAAATCAACCTTTTTAATTTGTCAAGTGAGGAAATAAAGAATCTTCCCGTCTGTAGATTTTGGCACCCTATCTTAGTAATCTTTATCAATGGTCACCTGTTTCAGTCACTTCCGCTAATGGAGGCTTATAGTGTTTTCTTACCGAAGTCACAATCACGCGCATTTATTTCGAAATGTCATACTCGCAAATATAGATAGCAAAAATTGTATAGATCTACCGTAAAGGTTTATTATTTTGTAATTAGTTTAAATGTTTGTACATCTTTTTTTCATTGCATACCAAGTATCTGTGGTTTCACTTCGACCCTATACAACCCAATTTGTCAGTCAGTTCACGCCATTTAGATTCCTCTGTAGGAAAGCAACGCCTCTCTCACCCAATCTACTCTATTAGGTCTATGTCCAAGACAAAATTGAACCTCACCGCACTGGCAACAGCTCGAATGACAATTAATTTTTATTTTACCGCTAGCTCAGTAAAATAACAAATAATGTTTACTAATACTCTGGTTTGATTGAACTCTAAAGCGGGGTTCCCATTTATGCATTTCGATGCTGCAATTTTTGTTGCTTCATTTTCATGACGCATTTTTTGATGCACAACTAAAAAGGCATTCATGCATACTGGTGCAAGTTAATTCACGCAACTACATTGCTACCAATCTTTTTTTATTTTTATGTGGTGGTGGTGGTGATAATTTGAACCTTAACCATAAAGCCGAAATTCTTCCAACTCGATTGAATTTTTTAAATAACGTCATCCTCGGTTAAATTGTCACACATCGAGGGATATTTGCCAACTCGCTTTTTAGCGCATTTTTGCAAAAATTTTTTTGGTAAAAAGTAGCTTTTAATGTCACTTTGGCTGGCTGGTCGGCTGGCTGGCTGGCAGTAAATGCGCGCCCGTAGAAAAACGCTTGTAAAAAGACAAGGAGTGTACATGTAACTATCGGGGCCGTGTAATTAAGAACGTTAGGGATGGGGCTACAAGATTTGGAGTCGACGACATCTGGACGCCATCCCCGAGCGTATTATACTAACCTGGAGATCTTTCAGTTTTTATCTATCTTCTTCTACAGTTTTTCTCCGATTGTTTTCAAATTGTTGTCATCGGGAAGATCTTGTCAACGGCACAACTCCTGCGTGGCGGAATTTTGTTTTTTTTTCCTAGGGGCGAAATAAACCACCTTTTGCGCGGCGCGCTTCGAGGGGTAGTCGACTTTGGGCGCCCAAAAGTTTCTTACAGCGCGAATCGCGGTCTCTCTTTCTCGTGTCACTAATAGAAGGTCGAGCTATGTGAAGTACCCAAAAGTTGAATACGATTTTATGCCGGGATTTTAGCGAAATCTACCAAAATGTAAATTACGAATGAACGGGACGTCGGAACTGTGTATCGACAAAGGGAATGTGGTAACCCCCGACGAGATCTTACTGATGGTGGAGTCGAAACTTCAAATCCGAATTGTTGCGGGTGATCAGAAGTGGGTGCCGACAAAGGGAATATGGTAACCCCCAAAGGATTTTACTGATGATGGAGTCAAAACTTCAAACGCGAATTGCGAGTGCATGGTAAGTGAGAAAATGGTACCGACAAAGTGAACGTGGTAGCTTTCGGCAAGATCTTATTGATGGTGGAGGCAATATTGGCTAATAAAACACTGATCTGCCACACAAAAATGCGCTGAAGTCCCTTCGATCTCACACGAGGACTTTGATCATTTTTATAATTTTAATAGCGTCCATTCTCTTATTCTTGTGTTTGTATTCTTTTAATGAGGTAATATAAAGGGTTGGTTGTGCCTCGTAAAGAGTTATTAAATTAAATATTTTGTTAGTTCCCGTGTCCAAGTAAATGCAGTTTTTTTAGAACTCATAGTAACTAACGAACGCTCTTAATAAATTCAAAATGTAACAAACAAAAAATAAACCAACTTAAAACAACTTAAACTTAAAACTTCCTTCTCTAGGCTTGAAACCATATATATAAGAGAAGTATATGGATAAACGAGTGGACACGCCTATCGCCAACGTTAGTGGATGGAAATATACTTCTGTCATTAGTTGGGAACTAGGCGCTAATGCGCTTGCCTGTTATTATGTAGTGTTATTTACCAAGCATTTACTCCAGTTTGACA